AGCCTCAGTGATGGGATTCGGAGGACTGCCTGTTAATTTTCGAGAGTGGGTTGTGATGGTTATGTTTATGTGCCCACTTGGCTAGGCCATGATATTCAGTCAAGCTTTCTAGATGCTTGCGTGAAGCTATATGTAGGTGAGGTGAGCATTTAAATCAGAAGACTTTGACTAAAGCAGATTACCCTCCAAAACGTGGTGACCCTCACCCAATCAACTGCAGGCCTTAAGAGAAAAAAGGCTGAGCCCTTTTGAGGCAGAGGGAATATACCAGCAGGCTGCCTTCCAATTTGAGATGTAACATCTTGTCCCTGGGTCTTCAGCTTGCAGGCCTACCCTGCAGATTTTGAACTTGCTAACCTCCATAACCTTGTGAGCCAACCAATTCTTTAAAATCAATCTCTCTCTTTCTCTACATACCCACCCACCCACCCACCCTTTCAGTTCTGTTTCTCTGGAGAACCCTGACTAATTGATGGGTAGCCTTTAATATGCTTCATGTCAAACCCATGAGCTGCTTCATAAAAACAATCTAGGATGGCAAGGAAGACTTTTTTGGCTTAGTTCCCAAATTTGGCTTTGACCTTTGCCTAGACTTTAGCCCCTGAATGCCTCACTCTGAAAACCCTGCGACTGACCCTCAGGACCCAGCTGTCACTGCCTCTTGAATAACACGCTAGGCTCCCTTACATAGAACTGAGTCTGAACCACTAGGCATTTTTCTCTCTAGCTAAAATTACATGGGACTCACTCCTAACTGCACAATTAAAGAATCGATTCAGAATTTAACTAGTGAGCATGTCTGAGTTCCAATATCATACAAGGTTAATTAATTAATACTTTAAGATTCAAACAGCATTTTCCTGTACTTGCCTTGTTCACCTCATATGGAGAGGACCCTGTTCTATCCTAGTGCCATTTTATACAATTGTGGTGCATTTCTGCTCATGCTTTCCATTGCACCCAATGCTGGAGAGAGGACCTATAAAACACTAACCCATGGGCTCACTTGTGTAAATACTATAATCTATGTACATGATCCAGCTGTGAGTGTTGGTAATAGTCATAATTACAATGCTCATATTTACTGAGTGCTCACTATGTGCCAGGCATTACTTTGTTGGTACTAAACCCTTTAATGCTCACACCAATCTTAAATGAGGTAGGTGCTATGATTATCCCATTTTATAGATGAGGAAATTGAACCACACCCTCAATGGCACCATAAATAGTAGATGACCCCTGAGATTGTTCAGCTGCACTGACTGGGAGCCATTTGTAATGTTCTGCTGCTGGCCTTGGGAATTTCTCCTTCTGCTTCTATCCACAAGGGCACACAGCATGGCAATCCCCTAATCCTGCCTTTGAAGATGCTACCCTGAGAAACAGAGCCCATGGCTCTTTGCTTCCCACCAGAGAGCAGAGCTCTTCAGTCTTAGATATTTTTTCTGGCTGATCCTCTTTTCTGAAGTTGCTGTGGCTTCTGTTCTAGTGTCTAATTTGTCATAGTTCCCTTTTTTTCCTGCTCACCCCAATATGTGGCCCCTACTTGTTTTTGTGCTGTGTTTCCGTACCCTATCCCTTCTCTAGAGGGTCTCAGGAAACATCTTGGTGGGCTCAGCATGCTAGGGGCTGCTCTTCACCTTCTCAGCTCCTTCTTGATGTAAACTGTACTGCAAGACTGAGGGCTTTGAATAGTTGAGGCGTTTCTTATCTGTACAAAAAGTACACTGACTCACCTCTCCTGACTTGTACATGAGATTATCTTGACCCTCTTCACATATCTTGTTCCTTAACCAAAGTCCAACACTGCTCATTTCATTTAAGTATGACTTCAATGAACTTCTTAATTTGAAGACTTGTAACTTCTCAGTGATTCTGGTGAAATGTTTTCTTAACTTTGAGAGGACAGTCTTCTCTTCCTGCAAGTCACTGAAGAAATCTTCCTAAAGCTAATAAAGCCTTTCTGCACGTCTCTCTTTGGAGCAGACTTCAACTGGCCCTTTAACATAGCCCCTCCTTTGAGCACAAGCACACTTCTTCTTGTGTGTCTTTATATCCCCTTATACACCAGGAATCCATGGAGCCCATCGTATCAGGTACCCATACCCTGGTAACTAGGAAGTAGCATAAAAAATACTACCCTCCAAAAGGAGAGCTGTTACAACTCAATGCATTAATTCCTGCTAGAATTGAAGGGTTAGGTCCTGCTAGACCTGGGTAGACTGGGCTGTCACTGTCAGGAGGCAAGTATAGGCAGGAAAGAGCTGACAGAGTAGGTTTGAGACTTCAGAGCAGAGCCCTACAGTCAGAAACAGAGGTAGTGGCTCCTGGTGGCCTCTGGCACAGATACTTAGGAAATAATGGCTAGGTTGGAACCAGGAGAGGGACAGGGGACAAAGATAGAGAGCCAAGGGAAAAGCTGGATGTGGGTTCAAGCCCAGGCTACAAGACACAGAATTATGAGGCTCAGAGACATCTGTGCTGATACTGTCTCAGACAGCGATGGCTTTTCTGAAGTGACAGGTTGACCCCCATTCTCTGAGGATTAAAGGGTGCCATTGTCCTGGAACCGGCATGGAGGGCTCTTCATATCATAAGTGACAGTGCTGACAGCACATTCATATTCTTTTCTTTAGCAGGAGTTTAGGTATTCCCAGAACACTGAATTGAACTAAGAGTCAGAGAAAGAGAGAGAGAGAAGTGAGTGAGATGCTGTTGAGTTGAGGTAACCTATCTCTGAAATACATATTTTAAAATGTAGCCATTTGTGTAGCTGATTGTCTCCTTAACATTCCATTTAGGAAAGGAAGGGGATCTGTCTTATGAGTCAGATATTTCAGTTTAGCCATCTCATTTGCTATTCCTCTCACAGTAGAGGAAAGCCAAGTGAGTTGTATAAATGGAATAATTACATTTCCTATTCCTGGGTGACACATTTGCCAATTCTTTCTTAATAGCATTAGAGCCAGGCACAGTGGCTCAGGCCTGTAATCCCAGCAGTTAGGGAGGCTGAGGTGGGCGGGCTTGAGCTCAGGAATTCAAAACCAGCCTGGGCAACATAGTGAGACCTTGTCTCTACTAAAAAATAGCTGTGCTGAGTGGCACACGCTTGTGGTCCCAGCGACTTGGGAGGCTGAGGTGGAAGGACTGGTTGAGCCTGGAAGGCTGAGGCTGCAGTGAGCTGTGATTGTGTCACTGCACTCCAGCCTGGACGGCAGAGCGAGACCCTGTCTCAAAAAAAAAAAAAAAAAAAAAAAAAAAAGCATTAGAATAGATAGATTCCGTGAAAACCCCCTGTGTACATGCAAAAGGTAGTAGTTGTTAGTATAACTTAAAGCACAGGTCTCTGGACATAGTGGAAAAAGAGGCCACACTGGTCCACAGATTAGAAAGATACATATGTAGAGAAAGTGATTTTTGAGCCTCCTTTGTGGATATTATTCCAACTTAATTCATAAACATAATTATAGCATTCCTCACTTATTTTAAAGCTGCTTCATCATTTTGTCCCATCCAGAGAAGACTCATCTCTGATAGGATAACTCTCATTTATCTCCAGTGTGGCTGGGATTCCCACCCATAAACCTGCATAATTAGAGGCCTGCAGGAGATTCACATTCCTTCTCTTGGTTTATCTTTTAAAAACTCTCATTTGTTCAGTTTCCCTGGCACATCATACATGTTCTTGCCTTCCTCTCCTTCTTCTCAGGCCCCCAGGGCACTACAGCACATTTTCTAGAACTTTCCTGAGACATAATGCCTTTATCTAAACACTCTGCGGTCTGAGTTCTGGTAAATAATGACAGGCATGTGTGGACTTGTGGGCAGAAGTGGGTTTTGCCCCTGTGCTTTTTCTCAGTGGGAAGTCCAGGAGGCTGGCCCTGTTTCAACCTCCAGATCTTTCTTTTTATGAAGATAATGATGATCACAGAGTCATATTATTGGCCTCCCTGCGGGCACTCAGAGGCAGCCAGCCCAACGCTCTTACGTTCCTTTGCCTTTCATTTGAAAACATGTAGGGGCACGTAGACTGGGTGAAGATAATTTCAAAAGAAGAATTTTTGAATTTAATTAAATAATACTTCGTAATAGTACACTTGGTTCATTTGCAGAGTATGGCAGCATGCAGAGGATTTCCACATGTATGATGCTATATAGTACTTGAAACATTGGGCCTGTTTCTTTTATGATTACACAAGTGTTAAAGCAAATGTCTCCCTCTGTTTCTATTTAAAAAGTGACAGAAATGGAATATTTGCCATTATCTCTTTTGCAGATACTATCCTATTTTCTTGCTTTTCAACACAGACTAAATTCTTCCTCAATCCAGTGCTCCTCCAAAGCCCCGTGTACTTCTTCTTTTATATCCTAGCATTTAAGCTAAAATGAGTATTCATGGCCATATGCTTGTTAATTCCCTTTGCATGAAGGTGCGTTGTTGGCAATCTGTGCAGATCATTCTTTAGTTTGGACTTGCCCCTAGCAAACTCTTGGAGCGAGAGCTAAGCTCGGGTGGGCTGGCTTAGAGGACATTGCTTCCTCTTGTTTTCAGCAACAGCTCGCATCTCAAATAGTCCCCCAAGAGGACTACTTGATGAAGTTTTGCCATGTGGAAAATATAAATAGACTTTGCAAAGTGGTATGGACAAGCAGAGATTTTTCTGAACTAATATATAATGAGAAAATAACAAATGAAATGGAACTGAAAAAAAAAAAAAAAAAAAAACATTGAAAATGGGAAGCGAGCATGAAATCCCAAAAAAAAAAAAAAAAAAAAAAAAAAAAAAAAAAAAAAAAAAAAAAAATCCCTAAACCTGCATTGAAGAACTGCTTTCTTTTTTCCCTAAGCCTTCAAAATACTGAGGTGGGTTGCATGCCAATAGCCCTCAGTGGGCTATGCTAAGGGAGTCTAGGCTAGCAAAGTAAGAAAAAAAATGTATCATTTTAACAACAAAAAAAAACTCCTTTTATTGACTATGACATACATACAAAAAGATATGCATATGAGTTGTGGGAGCATCCACATGTGTGTGTATGTGTTTGCACATGTGCACACGTATTTCCTAGCTCTGTTCACTGAAAAGGTTTAGAAACCATGACCGACCCAGTAGCAATGGGCATCCCTCGTGCCCAGATGTGGCTTTGAAACACCATTTTTCCACTAACGAGAAAGGGCTATTTCTAGGTTTGGGATGGGCAATGTACAAGATGTGTCTGGAACACCTTGCTATACCAGATAATGAGAAAGCTCTTGAAGACCACCAGGATCATGTTGAAAACACTCGGGTCAACTCAAAGAGGCTTCCACTGGCTGATGAGGGGGAAATTTGAGCTTCAGAAAGGATAATAAATGTAATCATTATGAAACCCATCAAATAAATTGAAATCCATGACTTCATAATGATATCTTAAAAATTGATCTCCTTCAGAGGATAATAGGAAAATAATCCATTTTTTTTGTGAAAATTAGTAAATGAAAAGAAAGAATCAAACATTTATTCTACTTCTGCTAAGTGAACGTGCCACTGAGTAATCAAATAGTAGATGAGGGAAAGCAAATTTTTAGAAAAGTGTTCCAGTGGACGAATTAATAAATGGAAAAGAAATGATAGAACTAGAATGTTACCATTTTGCAACCCCCTTTGAATGAATAGATCTTGGCATCAAGCATCAACAGCTGCTATTATCACAACAAGAGAGACAATCAGACACTGCATGTCTCATGGTGAAAGAACAAATCACCATCTAGAATCTTGCCAAAAGTTCAAACCTGAGGCTGATCAAGTCTCTGGATCCAGCTCCCATTTGCAGGAAATAGAGAAGACAGAGGACAATCAGTATACAATCAGCAAAGGCCAAATGGTGGGAAGTCTACCAGTCAAGTACCCAGGTAAGTCGGAAAAAAGAAAGGGATGGAGGAGAGACCCTGTAGAATATAAGAGAATTAAAAGACACGTCGAATTTACAAATGGGTAAAGCTACACTATAGTGTTTAGGAATGCATGCCTAGATGATAAAACCACAAGAAACACAAGGAATGGTTACTTAACACTTCAGGGAAGTGGTTAGTTTTGTGAGAAGGAAGCCATATTGAGCAGAATGAGACACAGAAGGGACTTTGGGGTTGCCGTGCAAAGTTCCATGTCTTGACCTGGACAGTGGTTGCTAAGGTGTTCACCTTTTAGCAATGAATTGGGCTATTAATTCACTTTGTGTGGTTTTCTTAATCTATGTTTTATTTTATAATGGAAAGGGTTAAGAGAGTAGAAGAAAAGAAGAAGAGCAATTTTTAAATTTATATTTTATGAATGCCACAAAGGGCTTAACTAGTGAAGAGCAGCAGTTTGTGTCAAGACATTATCATGGAATGGTAATGAGTGTGAGCTCTGAGCCACCCTGGTGGGGTCTGAATTGCAGCTTTGCCACTTACCAGCTGTTTAACCCTGGGAAAATCACTCAGCCTCTCTGTTTCAGTTTTCTCTTCTGTAAAGTGGATATCGTAATAGTTCCCACTTCATAGTGTCATCATAAGGTTTACATGAGATGATAACATGAACATTGAGAATACTGCCAGGCATATAATAAGGGCTCAATACAGCTATGTTGTTCCTTCTTACTTTTTGCCTTTCTCTCCCATTCGTTTTCCTCAAACTTTGTAGCACTATCTCTTCCTTAAAATCCTGTGGAGTAGGGTGGGGAGTCCTCCACTAGTCCTAGCCTGTGTCTCTCTTGTCCTTCTATCCTCTGTTCCTCATTCTGGATTTAAATACCCCCAGGGAGAAATCTGAAAAGACAGGGAAGGAAAGATCCCAGCTGGGCACTCAGAACCTATTTAGAGATGAGAAAGAGGGAAAGAGACTTTTCTTGAATCCACAGCGCTAGAACAGTGCCTGATCCAGAGCAAGCACGTAGCAGACATTTGCTGAAAGGATGAAAAAAAGAACTTGTAGAACATGATTTAAAAAGCACTGCTCAAGCATTTCTCTTTTGGATGAAGAGTTTGAAGTAGTCCATGACTTTATTTTTGCCTTTGTCCTGCCTAGCTATTTTTCTTCCCTGCTGCCCCATTTTGGTGTTCATGTCTTGGTATGAGTCAAATAGTCGAAATGTAGTATCTGTTGGCAAAACATACATATTGCACTGTTCTTTATTCAGAAAGCCACATGTGGACTCCAGCCCTATGCCTACCAACCATCTTGTCACTGTCACTCGGAGCTCCTTCCTGCCCAGCAGATGTGTCCACCCTGTCCTTCTTCCTCTAATGTTTTTCCTGTCATTGTTCCCATACCTGACTCCCTCCCATCCTGTGTTCCAGTGTAGATGAGCCTATTGCAGCAAAGCCTTTGTGTACCATCCTCCCATAGGTAAATTTCCCCATCCACTGATTATTTCCCTCCTGTTTCCTTCAAAGCACTTACCACGTATCTACCCACAGATGAATATTTGTGGAGGAGTCCATGGCCTTGACAACAAATGACCAAACACGCACTACAAGAATGGAAGCATGAATGGAAGTTGATTTGTTTCTTGTCTCCTGCATAGCTTCATGAAGGTACTATGACTGTCAAGTTTACTAGTTTCTAGGTTTTAGTGGGTGCTCGATAAATACTTTGTGAATGAATGAATAAACAAATAGATAAAATGTGAAGCTTCAGGCTTGGGGTTGGGGAAGGTTGTTCTACAAGATGACCTATCAGAGTCTCATTGTGAGGTGGAGCCAGGAGATGGGGATTCCAGGACAAGGAAGTAACATTCACAACCTTGAGGAAATAGGCAGTTTTCCCTGGAAGATCTGCCTATAATGAGGGAGACCACCCCATACCTTTATTCAGAGATGGGATGGAAGGCAGGACTCAGGAACAGGAACTGAGCCTACAGCCAACGACAAGGGCCTACAATGCTGAGCAGGATTGCTGGGCCTATTGTGCCCAGTGGACAGTCCTTAAGATGCTGATTCTGGGCATTTGGAGGTTTCTGAGAGTGAATGACGACTGAGTTCCATCAGGGGACTCAGCGTGGCCTGTCACTAACAGGGTGCTTTAGGATTTGGAGTGATCCATAACTATAGACAGAGTATAGCTAAAAATGCCTTGAATTTGACCTTAGTTTTGTCACTTACTGTGTTATCCTGAGCAAATTTTTAACTTCTCAGCAACTTGGATTCATTGTTTATAAGATGAAGATCAAAGTATGTACTTTCTGTGGTTGTCATGACAATGAATTAAGATCTTTTCTCAGGTAAACTGCCCCATCCAGTCCTGCTCTCATCTGGTTGTGCATTAGAATGGTCCATGAAGAATGTAAACACTGCACACACACCTGGGTACTACTGCAGCAGATTCGGACTCAGTACTTCCGGGGTGGCCTCCAATCATCTGTGGTTTTGGAAAGCTTAGAGGTGACCATGAAGCTCAGGCAGAGTTGAGCAAGGTCGAATTGGTATATATAAGGCAACAAAAGGTGGAAGCTTTTCCAGCCACTTCCTCCTCTGCTGCCACTGCCTCATCTTCTTCTTTCTGATCCTTTTCTCCTTTTTTTTCTTCTTTGTTATTGGGTGTGAGCATAAGTGGACAAAGTCACAAGGTAACTGGAGGAGCAGTGGCATTAAAAACAATTAAAGACTGATAATATCTACATTGGATGTTGATTCCAGCTAATGACTAGATGAAGGCTATGAGAATTGAGGTCTTGGTGCTAATTAGTCAGCTTTGAATATCTGGAACAGCAATTGCAAAGGTGTGAAAGATGGCACTGCCAGTACTTCATTTGCATAGAATGACTCTTACACATGCCTTTCCAGTTTTCCTATATTTAAAAAAAAATTGGCTGGGTGCAGTGGCTCACACCTGTAATCCCAGCTATTTGGGAGGCTGAGGTGGGCGATCATGAGATCGGGAGATAGAGACCATCCTGACTAACACAGTGAACCCCGTCTCTACTAAGAATACAAAAATTTAGCCAGGTGTGGTCGTGGGCGCCTGTAGTCCCAGCTACTCAGAAGGCTGAGGCAGGAGAATGGTGGGAACCCGGGAGGTGGAGCTTGCAGTGAGCCAAGATCACACCACTGCACTCCAGCCTGGGTGACAGAGCGAGACTCCATCTCAAAAAAAAAAAAAAAAGTACTTTCTACTAGACAGTTTCAGATACTCTCAAACAAAACATAACCATTTTAAAATAAAGATTGTAGAGTGGTTTAATTTTCTTGTGTAATGAAAATTTATTGAGTACTTTCTGAGTACATAGCATTGGGTTAAGGACTATTAACATGATTTCATTCATTCATTTATTCAACATGTGTTTATTGAGCACTGCTGTAGGTGTTAGAATACAGTAGTGAAAAAAAAAAAAAAGATAGAAGTCCCTATGCTATAAGAGCTTACATTCTAAGGGGAAGAGACAGGCCATAAAAAGTAAACATAGTAAGAAGTAAATCATAAAGTGTTAGAATGTGATAAAATGTTACTTAAAAGTATTTTAAGTACTGGGAGCTAGAGCATCTTGTATGCCTCACATACAGAAAGACCAGTCAGTGCAAAGGCCCCGAAGTATACAAGATGTGTCGGAGGAACAGTAACAAGGCCAGAGTGGTCTCAGTGAAGTGAAGTTAAGGAATAGGGAATGAGGTGGAAGAGAAAATGACCTTGTAGGTCATTTCGGACTCTGGCTTTAACATTGAGTGAGATAGAAAGCTACTGGGGTGTCAGGGGCAGAGGAGGTATAGGATTTGTATTATAACCAGATCACTCCGGCTGCAGCATTGAGAATAGATCATAGGAGGGCAAAGGTGCAAGAGAGGATGCAAGAGAAGAGACTCTAATGGGAATCCAGGGAGAGCCCCAGTGGCTTGGATGAAGATGGTGGCAGTGGACGTGGTGACATATGAATATATTTTGGAGAAAAATTCAGCAGGATTTCCTGATGTGTTGACATAAGGTATAAGAGAAAGTGTGGAATTAGTGACTCGAAGGCTTTTGTTGTTGTTTGGTTTGGTTTGGGGTTTTTGTTTGCTTTTGCATTTTTTCCTGAGCAACTGAAAGGACAGAATTGTTTTCCAGATGGGAAGATTGTGGGTGGAAACTGTTCGGTGAGGAATATTAAAGTTTACTTTCGGTGACTTGAGTTTGACCCCCAAGTGAAGACATCCAGGAGGCATTGGACCTGAGCATTTGGAGTTGGGAGAGGTATCTGGGCTGGGGGGACATATGAGGGACCATTGGGGTACAGATGGTGTTAAAAGCCAGAGACTACATGAAGTGGGTGAAGGTGGGGTGCAGATGGAGAAGTGAAAAAGTACAAGGACCAAGCTCTATGGCACCCCAAGAAGTCTGGGGGACAAGGAGGGACCAGCAAAGGAGAGTGATGAGGAACGACAGGTGAGGTGAAAGGAAGATCAGGGCAATGTGGTGTCTTGGCAGCAAGTGTGGTGAGGAAGGTGAAGAAGGGGGCAAGGAGGCCAGTGCCAAATGCTGCTGGGGGTCGGGTTAAAGGAGGACTGAGAAGTGACCATTGGATTCAGTAATGGGGAGGCCATTTGTTACCCTGACAAGAGTAGAGGGGTTAAAGCCCACTTGGTTGGGTTGACAGAGAAGGGAAGGGAGGAACTGGAGACAGAAGAGAGTAACAGGAAGTAGTTCACAGGGAACTGGGTCAAGAGGGTTTTTTTTGTTTTTAATTTTTTAAGTGAGAGTGATAATAGCATTTTTGTGTGAAGATGGGAATAATACAATGAGAAGAGGGATTATTGATGCCAGAGAGATAGGAGAGCTGCTGGAGCAATGCCCTAGAGTAGGTGGGATGAGATGGGATCTATACACAGGTGGGAGGTTGGCATTAGATGGGCACACGGACAGGCCAGCTATTGTATCAGGTGAGAGGTGGCACATGTGGGTGCTGACGCTGGCAGGGGAAATGAGTCTAATGATTTTCCTGATGGCTTCAATTTTCCCTGTGAAACAGGAAACTAAGAACGGGAGAGAAGATATCAGAGGCTTAAGGAGAGTGGATAAGGTATTACATGGATGTCTAGGAGAGTGGGAGAGTCCATAGACCAGGGAAATGAACACAGTTGCTTGGCCACACCAAGCGCTCACTGATGTTAACTATCGCAAACATAAAGTGGGATTGGTGCATGTAGTTATGAGTTTTTTGCTAGCCATGTTTGGCTTTTCGGGTGCAGACACAGTTTGCTAGATTTAACCAGGGTTGAGGTGTTGCCAAGCGAGAAAGCTACAGAGAGACAAGGAAATAGAGATTAGATGCAAGGGTCCGTCATGATAATTGTCCAGGCAATGAAAGGAGGCTCAAAAGGGAAGATAGTGAGGGGCAGCAAAAGGTGGCGGGATCAGTGGATGGGCACTCCCAGTGGGTTGAAGGTGGTGAGAGAAGAGGATGGGCATTCCCAGTGGGTTGAAGGCTTGCTGGAGTTGGGACACTGGGGGGTATGAACTGGAGAGTCAGGAAGTAAGTGATCAGATGCTGGGATGGATGAAAATGAGAATATGGATGGCAAGGTGGTTGTTCACCCCCAAACATGGTTGGAATACATTTTTTTGTTCCTTTTTGCAGATATGGCCAATGCTTAGTTCTGGCAAAGGAAATGTGGATGGAGATGATGTATCCAGTTTCTAGGCCTGGCCCATAAAAAAAAATCATCTCATGCAATTCTATACCCTTTCTCTTTTCTGTCTGCCACTGAATGCAGAGAATCCAGCCAGGACTGTGAAGCCCCAGGGAATGGCTGCACTTCAAGTCAGAAGGAGCCTGGGTCCCTGAATCATCGTGTAGAAGGCTCTCCACCCAACTCAATGGTGCAATGGACCACAAGCAAGAACTTAATTTAGAATGTGCTTATTTTGTTAGATTTGGTAATTAAAAAATTGATCCCACTCTGACTGAATCAGAGATGTTGAAGTCATTGGTCTGGGAGGGTATGTTCCTGGGAGTGGGTGGCTGAGGTGAGATTTCAAACAGGGTTGTTGAGGAAGAGGAGTTCAAGTGACTGAGAGGACATATTGTTGGATAAATTGTGTGTGTGTGTGTGTGTGTGTGTGTGTGTGTGTGTGTTGAAATCACCAAGAATAGGGAAAGAAGTGTATAAGAGAGTGTGGCAGTGAGCCCAGAGCTAAAAGAAATCATGAGCAGGGAGTAATACACGAGTACAGAGTAGCAGCAAGCAGAGGCAGTGAGAGAAACAGCTGAGGGATTTTTAGCAAGGGAGGAGGGAGGATGGTATGGAAGCAGTATCTGGGGGCCAAGAGGACACTGCCCCATCTCCAAGCCCAGTGGTGAGGAGAATAAGGGGAAAACGTCAGTGCAGGAGAAGCTACGTGGAAGGAGGAGCAGCATCGGCAGGAGGAGCCCCAGGTGAGAGGGATGTTCAGGGAAGAGGCTACAGATTACAGGGATTTTGCTAAAGAGGGTTTCTGAATCCAGACGCACATTAGAGGGCTCTTGAGATGCTGGGGTCTTGTAACGGGAAGATGGAGACAGAATGAGGATGTGTGGAGCCCTATGGCGAGCAGAGAATAAAGAAATGGGGTGACCTGGGAGCCTGGGATTCTTGTGACCATCGACACAGGTATCAAAGGCATGATGCAGTTAGTCCTGGAGAACCTGAGGCAGGTGGTGGTGATGAGGGGCAGGGAGCAGTGGTGTTTGGGACTCAGTCTTGGCTCCTGTCTCTGGAGGCAGTGAGACCTGGGACAAATGGGATTAGTCCCACTTTAAGACCCTTAAAGGGTCCCACTTTATAGGCTTAAGACCCTTAATAGGCTGCTTCTTAACCCCTGTGCATGGAAGGAAAAAGGTAGGAGTTGAGGCTGATGGATGTAAGATGTGGATTCTTAATCACATCTACTAGCTTCAGCTGTCCTACTCTCGGGAGGCTCACTTTTTTACAAAGAGAAAATATGTGCCATTGTAACTGTGCTTCAGTGGGCAAAGTAGAGCAGACTTCATTTAAAAGGCTGCTCCATGTTCATTACAGAAAACAAAGTCAATGTGCTGTTGACATTATTGCACATGACTGCGCAGCTGCGCACAAGCTCCACCCACCAGGTGAGTCTTACCTCTTTCCCTGAGTCCTGATGCCTTGCTTCTCACAGAGTGGCCCATGGGCCAGCAGCATTGGCATCACCTGGATGCTTGTTAGAAGTGCAGGATCTCAGCAAGACCCAGACATACTGAATCTGCATCTGCATTTTAACCGGATCCCCAGGTGATCCTTAGGCACGTTAAGCCTGAGGAAGCACTGTGATGCATTTCTTCTTGGTAGTAGGAACAAAGCGGGTGCCTCCAAGAAGAAAAAGGCAAGTGAAAGCAGCAGCTCCAGGAAAGATGACATGTTACTCATCAACCTTAAGATTCCAAGTTCAATGCATTTTCCCCCAGTCCTGGCAGTGTATTGGATTCATGTGAACTTCATTAAAAATTAAAACAAACAAAAGTTCTAACTTGCATGACTCCAAAAACATTTCATTGTTTCTTTAGAGAGAAATAGATGAGAACAGACAAAGTTGATTACACAGAATAAGGACAAAACAACTCTGAACTTTTAACCTGCATGAGTTGTCAGTAGAATCTCAGAATCATAGAATTCCAGAGTTTAGAGCAGTTGGCTCAACATTGGCTACACGTCAGAGTCACCTAGGGAACTTTCCAAAAAGTACAAAATACCAGGGGTGAGCCCCAATCCCAGATATTCTGTCTGAGGAAAGAGCCTGCCATCAGGTATGTTTCAAAAGCTCTCTGGGTGATTCTTATATGCAGCAAGGATTGAGATTCACTGGTAGAAATAAGATGCAAGACACATACGTGATTTAAAATTATCTAGGAGCCAAACTAAGTTGGTAGAAACAAATGAAATTAATTTCAATAATATATCTTAACCCAATATGTCCAAAATATTATCATTTGAAATGTAATTAATATAAAAAACTAATAATGATTTTCTTCTCAGTAAGACTTTAAAATCCAGTGTGTACTTTACACGTGTAGAACATCTCAATTCAGTTTAGCCACATTTCAAGGGTTCAATAGCCACATGTGGCTAATGACTGTCACAGTGGACCATGTAGTTCCAAGTAATAACAGTAGTGCTGGTCTATGAAAGATAGGTTTCCACCTCTGGAAAACAAAATGATTGCCCATTTAAAGTAGAAGAGACAGTTCAGAAGATAATGAGATGTAATTCAGTATTATTTCTTGCTTGCAAACAGCCTCTTAAAATCATCGCGGAAGTTCAATGAAGGGGTAAGATTTAGAAGGTTTGCAAAATTTCTTCCAAAAAGGGAAATGTCTGGGATTTACATGACAGAGGCCAACCCTTACATGGTGCTATGTTAAGGCATATAAATGAATACCGTGCTGAGTTTCTCAGCAAACTATGGTGTTGGGAAGGGCTGATCTTCTGATTTTGATCTAGGAAAAATAGGAATATAGTCATTGGCTACATTTTCTTTTTCTCTCTTGGAATCAACCATTATGAAGAGCAGGCATCTTTGGGGATTTTGGTGTCTGCACAGCTGAATCAGCATCGGAATCAGGAATGTGCGAGGCTAACATTCTGCGGCTTGGCATTCCTCTCTCAATTCCTCCACTTCTTAGAAAAGAAGCGTCACTCACTGATATTCTCCCCAACCAGCTGTGGAGTGTAATAAAGACCGTCCTCTTAGTATTAACATTAGATTGCATTCTTAGGATCTAATTTTCACCATGGGATTTTTCCCTAAAGAAATTAGAGAAATCACTTAGCCATTGGCATGTGTTAAACTGTAACCAGGTCATGTAGCTCTTCTGAGCCTGAGGCAAATAAACAGAAAATCTTAGTGACATGTGCTGAGAACTAGGTTAAACAAATTTCTCAGGATGGGTTGCAGAGTAGTTTGCTAGTGCTGGCAATGAAGTGTAGAGGCACTTAGGAGGGATGGTTTCTCCTTTCTCTTTTTACCAAAATGTCGTTGCTTCCCTCATAAGCAGTTTCTTCCCAAAGCCGACCATGTTTTTGTTTGTTTGTTTGTTTGTTTGTTTTTTGAGGCAGAGTTTCGCTCTTGTTGCAACAGCACAGTCTCGGCTCACTGCAACCTCTGCCTCCCAGGTTGAAGGGATTCTCCTGCCTCAGCCTCTTGAGTTACAGGCGTGCACCACCACGCCCAGATAATTTTTTATTTTTATTTTTAGTAGAGATGGGGTTTCGCCATGTTAGCCAGGCTGGTCTCAAACTTCTGACCTCAGGCAATCTGCCTGCCTCAGCCTCCCAAAGTGCTGGGATTACAAGCATGAGCCACCGCGCCCGGCTCTGACCGTGGTTTTATAAAGAGAAAAGGTTGAAAACATAATTGGTCTTTGGTCTATCTAGTTTCTCCATTTTGTACCCTTCTTTCACCTTTGCCAGTAATACCCTTTTCTCTTGGAAGGCCCTGGAATGTTTCTCTAGTGTCAAAATTCACCCCACCAAAGAGTTGTGAACTTAACACCAAAGAGTAACCTGTTTATATCACAGTGTGAATTACACAGAACTATCACTCTTCCAGTGCTTTTGTGATGAAGAATAAAGCACTATCAGAACAATATCATGCGTCCGCTAGGTAGTGAAGATTTTTAAAAAGTGGGCACAAAATTAGAACAAATGGAACCCTGAAACCGCACTACATAGGCAGATAGCTGAGTACAGACTGAAGTTAGAAAACCCTCCAGGGGTTAGGTATGAATCTGCAATTATGATAGGTGGCCCTCAGGGGGCACTTCAGCGCCTTGGTTGTGTGGCCAAACGATCAGGTTTACCATAATCAGAGAATAAAGTAATTTTTACTTCTTTAAAATAGAGTAGTTTAAATAAAATTATCAATTAGGGTTTAAAGATTATTTATATGAGCAAGTTCTTAAATCAAAGGCAAGGAAAAAATGCACTACCTGCCTCAGTATGCAGTTTTAGTAATTCAGGGTGGCCTTGTTTATGGCCCTAAGATATAATAACCATGTTCCTTCTCATTCTGATTTCTTATTTGGGAACCATATTCTTTTACTGGGTTAAGGGAAAACTTTTTTTTTTTTTTTGAGATGGCGTCTCACTCTGTTGCCAGACTGGAGTGCTGTGGCACGATCTCAGCTCACTGCAACCTCTGACTCCCTGGTTCAAGAGATTCTCCTGCCTCAGCCTCCTAAGGGAGAACTTTTAAAAGGGATTTTCGCAATTTTAATAGCCCAGCAGTATCCTCTCACTCTCTCTTCCTTTTCCACTGCTACCTGAAATGGAAGGAGCTGCTCGCTGTGTTAAAATGTGGAGATTATTTTGTAAATTTGAATATGAAGAATAGTGTCTTAAGCCATTCTCTCATTGTTAAAAAGAAATAACCTGAGACTGAATAATTTATAAAGAAAGAGTTTTAATTGGCTCTCAGTTCTGCAGGCTGTACAGGAAGCATAGTGACATCTGGTCCCAGGGAGGCCCCAAGAAGCTTACAATCATTGTGGAAGGCAAAGTGGGAGAAGGTACATCACATGGCAAAAGCAGGAACAACAGAGTGAAGGAGGAGGTGCCACACACTTTTAAATGACCAGACCTCCCAAGAACTCACTCATTATCTCCAGGACAGTCCCAAGGGGATGGCACTAAACCACTCATGAGCAATCTACCCCCATGATCCAGTCACCTCCCATCAGGCCCCGCCTCCAACACTGGGGATTACATTTCAATGTGAGATTTGGGCAGGGACCACATCCAAGCTATAACAAGTAGTTACTTTAAAACAAATGAAGTAATCTTAGCTGATATCTGCAAGATATTATAAGGGCTTTTCAGGTCAAATTACTCTGAGGTTCTCATGAGAGAAGTCTGACATATACAAGATAAAATGTGTGAGGTTTAATCCATCTGAAATTCTACAGTGCTCCT